CTATGTAACACTGGTTTTGTTCCCGGATTATAAATGGCAACTCCTAATTGGTTCTATCATAAAAACATGGAAAAAGTTTATTAAACTGCAAAAACTTTGTGTTTGCGGGAGAGATATCCTGCAGCACATGTTGCACTAGTTTTTCAATGAACATCTCATGAAATCTTAACAAATTCAACATAGTCTGTGGCAGCCACAAAGTTTCTGGAGTAGAACAACTCATTTCAATGTAAGCACCTTATTCCCAGCCCCGTATTTCCAGCCCGGCCTTACAGTTTTACGTTTACACAAGCCCTTGTCCTGCCCAACTAGTCTCAAATCTGCACATACCCACTTTTTTGGCTATTGGTTGTTTGTTATGTGGTTCATGTTTTAGGATGTTTTATATTTTATTGGCTTTACTGATTTTATTATAGTTGACTGTTATGTGTTTTAATTGTGTTACTCTATAACCTTTGTTTTTATTAGGCTTGGTCCCCATGTAAGCTGCCCCGAGTCTCTTTGGGGAGATGAAGGCAGGACATAAGAATAAAGTTGTTGTTGTTGTTGTTGTTTTTGTTGTTAGTACCACACAGTTAAATAGGAAATAACACTTTTAAACTAGGAACAAAACATTTTTCAAATTTTGTTACAGACTGTAATAAGTCTAAAAACTTGGCTGTTCCGGTGTGTCTTCAATGAATGAACAATAATCCCTGACTTTGACCAAACCTGGCATAAAATACCTTTGGACTCACTTTATTTCACCCTCTAGTGCAATTAAACCCCACTTGGACCTCCTTCTAGATACAGTACATTACTTATCTCACCTAGAGTTTTTAAACATTTCACTCTTTGCGACCGGCCCTGCCCATCGTGATTGATTATTGTGATTTTATATTGGATTGTGTGCCTATTTTGTACTGTTTTTATTATTTTCATTATATTATATTGATGTATTATTTTATGTTGTATATTTGCTTTGCTGTGATTGTTGGGCTTGGCCTCATGTAAGACTCCCCTTGAGGAGATGGTGGTGGGGTATAAATAAAGTATTTTTTTAATTATTATTATTATTATTATTATTATTATTCAACTTTGGGGTCCAATTTTTCAACACCACGTAATGCTTTGGGATCCTGGGAATTGCAGTTCTGCAAGGCCTTCCTCGCCAAATAGTGCCGACTACAACTCCCAGGATCCTATAGCCTTGAGCCACAGGACTTCAACGGGTGCCAAGCTGCTTTCATTCTGCAGTGTGGAGGCACCCTTAGCTGACAGCCAAAACAAGGTCTCTCTGGGGTTGGGCTGCTGCTGCTGCTGCTTCATGACTCAGCTGCTCTTCCTCCGGCGGAAGAAGACTGGCATCCCTCCCTCCATGGCAACAAGCGCCTGACTCATACGGACCCTTTTAGCCCCCCTTCCCTCCTGCCATCAGCAGTGCCTGTTGCTTTTGCTCGTTTCATGTTGGTTTCACTCAAAACTGGGGAACCCACTGGCCTCGCATGGGGTCCGACTGTGGATGGATTCCAGTGGCATTTAGGCAAAAGCAGGCATGTTGTTGTAAAGTGGGCACAGGCACGTTTCAGCTTTGGACTTCAACTCCCAGAATTCCTAATGGCCTGAATTTGTGGGGGTTTAAGTCCTAAACACCTGGAGGGCCAGCGTCTGCCCATGGCTGTTGTAAAGGGTCATGGTAGGGTTGAAAGAAGAGATCCCATCTAGTCTAACCACCCTCTGCTGTGTAAGGATACCTAACCCAAGCCCTCCCGACTGATGGCCACATGGGTTCTGTTAAAAGCCTTCTTTTTTCTTTTGCTTCTCCAACTCTTGCTGCTCATTTGGCTCCTCTCCATGCTGCTTGGCTTGACAGCCTGTTTGGATTGTCGCTTCCTATGTCTTTCAAGGCAAATCCTGCCAGCTCCATCCCTGACTCACCTGCCTCCGTCTGCCTGCCTCTTCCGCGTCTGATTGCTTTTCATATATCTCCTTTTAAAATGGATGTTACTCCCTTTCAGCTGATTCCGTAGTTTCAGTTGGAGTTTGTGTTTTTAACCATGTTGTGTGTTAATTGGTTGTTGTATTTTAAGCTGTTGTTCCCTGTTTAGATTCATAGGGAAAGCTATATAAGAAATAATAATAATAATAATAATAATAATAATAATAATCTTTATTTATATCCCGCCACCATCTCCCAGATGGGGACTCGGAGCAGCTTACATGAGGCCAAGTCCAAATGACAATTAACAATAAAGAAAAACCAAAACGCAACCGAAAACGCGAACAATAAACAATAACAACATAAGGTTCTTGTGTGTTTTTTCGGGCTATAGGGCCATGTTCTAGAGGCATTTCTCCTGAC